GGCAAGTGGGTCGAGGGAGGTGATTTTGCCCCTCCACTCTGTTGAGACCTCACCTGGAGTCCTGCATCCAGCTCTGGAGCCTCCAGCACACGAAATACATGGACCTGTTGGAGGTGGGCCACAAATATGATCCGAGGGCTGGAGCACCTCTCCTATGAGGAAAGGCTGAGGGAGTTGGAGCTGTTCGGCCTGGAGAAGAGAAGGCTGCGGGGAGACCTTACAGCAGCCTTCCAGTACCTGAAGGGGGCCTATAGGAAAGATGGGGAAAATATATTCAGCAGGGCCTCTTGTGACAGGACAGGGAGCAATGGCTTTAAACTAAGGGAGGGTAGATTTAGACAGATATACGGAAGAAATTTTTTACCATGAGAGTGGTGAAACACTGGAACGGGTTGGCCAGAGAGGCAGTGGAAGCCCCATCCCTGGAAACATTCAAGACTGGGTTGGATGGGGCTCTGAGCAACCTGGTGTGGTTGAAGATGTCCCTGCTCACTGCAGGGGGGTTGGACCAGATGACCTCTGAAGGTCCCTTCCAACCCCAAGCATGCTATGATATTGTGATGCTATGATCTAAATTCCTCATGTTCCACTTTCTGGGCAAACTGTTAGCTTGTTGTGAAAGTAGGCGCTGATGGCTTCTCCCCCTATGCCCCAGTATCTCCACAAGTTTGTTAGCACCACTGGTTGTTGAAAGCTGTCTGTATGTGCAAATACTTCATACAAATGCAACCGCTAAGGAGACGCATGCTATGATATTGTGATGCTATGATCTAAATTCCTCATGTTCCACTTTCTGGGCAAACTGTTAGCTTGTTGTGAAAGTAGGCGCTGATGGCTTCTCCCCCTATGCCCCAGTATCTCCACAAGTTTGTTAGCACCACTGGTTGTTGAAAGCTGTCTGTATGTGCAAATACTTCATACAAATGCAACCGCTAAGGAGACTGTTGGTTGTCTTGCAGTTGTTGGTTGTCTTATTTTGCCTGAAAATGTAGTTATCCTTTTTTTGGCTATCTAGGCAAGTGTTCTTGTTCCTGCTTCTGAGGGCAGGTGAGGGCCTTGTAGCACCTTCTTGAATTCAGTATCTATGTTACACTCAAGTGATAGGCGTTTTGGAGTGAAATTTGATGTCTTCTGGCTCTGTGGTTCCATAGAGTAGAATCTGAGCCAGATGCTTCATATAAAGAAGGGAATTATCCGTAGGCCTGTACTGGAGTACGAGAGTATTACAGAGTTACAGGGGTACAGCTCAGCTAGTGTAGGTGTACCTTTATTCCAGACAAGCAGGTCTAGAGTAGGATTTATGTAGGAATAAACCTGGAAATAATTAATCGATTTTTAATCTCTTTCTACAGCTGTACTTCATAGTTGTTTTCTTTTCCACCTAGAGCAAAAACTCATTCTTCTTGACTGCTAAAAAGCAATATTTTATGCAAAGTTAACAGCTGTTCTGGTGAAGTCAGCATAACTTTTGGATACCAGGTTACTACATTTTCCCAAGTGGAAAATTTTCCAAATGGAAAATATCGATCTTTCTTACTAGATTGCTAGGTGTTTA